CGAAACGTTCGTTAGTAGAGGCGTTCGTATCCCGAGGTACCACTGTACTGTACAGAGGAAAAGGAGGAGGGTTTTCTAGGAAGGGAGTCTAAAAGGCCAAGTAATGAAAGACATAGAACTTGATGTGACACATTATGCAAACCATAAGATTGAATCAAATGAATTATATCGCAATGCAGTTGCAAGTGCCCTAAGACTCCTCCTACTTTTTGCTGTAACGCATCTAAACCTCCGGACTGCAATAAAATTATGAAGAACAGATAACATAAGTTTATCTATTCCAGATAAAAGAGCTTACCAATGATGCTCTACGAGATCGTCGACTCATTGGTTGATCAAACGGTGGACTATTTATTTGCAACTTTTCGAGATATCCATCAGGTATCCTAATGTCTGCAGGCAGTGACAAACGTTTATTCAAGTCCTGGAGAAGGAAACCAACACTGTTAAGGGGACACAGATACTTTCAAAACTTATTTCTATAGAAAATTAAAATGCCAATAACTACTCAGTAATGTAGGCATAGTTTGCTACTGGTTAAGAACTCAGAATGGTAGCGGACAGCCTGTTTCTATGGAAAGATGCAACTGTAATGCTTTATCTCATGTTGTGAAACAAAGCTGTACTTTCAAAAATGGCAAAAGAGCATATTACTTTATTGGCTTTCTTTAACCTTGCCAGATCTGACTTGCAAATATCCAGACAACACCAGAGGTACAATTTTCTATGTGCTGACATTTAGTGGTTGTCCAGATTTTTGCAGCCCAAATCTAGCAGTGCTACTCTAACACCCCTCACATTTAGTGAAATTAAGAGTTCTCCATAAAAATTTAAAAAATTGGTACTAAAAACTCTGTTAGACATGACTAACATTCATTGGTTGATCACTCTGAAACATCTTCCCAGCTAGTTTGAAGCACAGTGTTCTCTTCAAGCTGATTCCTAAATATGCCAAGGAAACTGATAGAGCCCAAGGTTTCTAATGTTCCAATTTCTCAAACATTTAGGGATCTTATTAGCAATACAATTTCTCACAAATTCTGCGTTTGACTCTTGGCATTACGTTGTGCCTCAGCTACTAATTGTAGCTCAGTCTTGGAAAGGGGAGAAGGATCAGTGTGACAGATTATTGCTGCTGTTGTTGGTTGCACAGTCAGCCAGATGTTTAGACTAGATTTGGCATTTTTATCCACCTATTGAGTTCTTCCCAAGGACCTGGGGTAGGCAGATGTTGTTGTTCGATGGTGTTTAAGATATCATCGCAGGATGTAAGCTGTTTTTACATTGCAGGATGTAAAGCTGCCTTTTGCAATTGACTGATGGTGATTTTGTCAATGCCGATGGTCTTCAAGTG